CGGGTTTGGCCGGAATATAGGGAGCTCGCCGGAAAACGGTCAAGCCATGGTGGTTGGAGGAATAAAGCTCATTTCCTTGAACAAGCTAAGACAAAATGTTGATTTTTTGGACTAGATCTTGAAATGGAAGGTGGTGTTTTAAGCTTCAATGGAGGTGGTGGGGTTGAAGAAGAAGAATGAATAGTAACTTGGGGGCTAGGGTTTCTTGTAGGTGTGTTGGGAGACATGGGGACATTCTATTTATAGGAGGGTGGGTAGCTTAGGGTTTTGCTCTTATTGGGCTTAGAAATCGGGCCTAATAGATTGGGCTCGATTTTAACGACTTGGGCTCGGATAAATAATTGCTACTAGGCTCGATTATTAAAAAGATACTACTTGGGCTTAATAATAAATAAATTATGCAGTTAACTATAATAAATCTCTGCATAATTAAAATAATACTAATTTCGATAAATAAAGTCGAGCTAAATATATATAATTTTGGGTCGGGGCTTACAATCTATCCTCCTTAAAACATTTCCGTCCTCGGAAATGACAAAACTAAACATAAGGCCAACTCGACTATAAACTAGAAACTGAAAAATACATAATACGATAGTACTAATCAGAACTGGAAATCTGGATAGCTAGCTTTGACTTCAGTCTTCTTCTTACTAATGATCTTGGTTTTGCCATGGCAACTCCGGTTTCAAGCCCCCAGGTAAATCCGGACTAGTGACTCTTATTTCAAGCCTCCATAATTTACCCGACTTTTGACTATTATACACCGTTATCTCAAGTTCGAGAACTGAGTGTTCCTATCTGGATACTATATAGGTCTGCTCCGATCATAAAACCTGTCTCACTGGTACTGGTTCGCCATGGCGGTTCACCAAAATTCACTACGTGTCTTAGATAAAATCCAATACAAAACTTTTAGAAACTATACTTAGAAACTTTAAAAGAAGCTCATCTATTCTTTTAGTGGTATCGCTCTAGCTATGGCGACACTCATGGACTTAAAGAGGCCTACTTCTCGGCTCTCTAACTAGCGTACCTTCCGCCACAAGGTGGCCGTAGGTACTACCTCACGTGTCAACACGGATCAACGTGAGACTCATTTAAGTTTCCCACGTGTTAGAGCTCGAGTACAACTCCTCAAACTCGAGGTGTGGAGAAATCGCTAAACATTTCCCAAAAATTTCGACGACAAAGCCCCAAACGTTAGGCTTAGCTCACCATCTCGACTATAAGATGAAAATGGATGGGGTAACTATGTTGTAGTTTCTTTGCAGTTGTGACCCTCAGGTCATCTTACCGTACACACTAGTCTACAAGTCTTTCTGTGGCTAGCATATACCCGACTTTCGTCGCTTCAAGGTTGTATAAATCTTTGTGTGGATCACTGATTTCTACTCCCTTGTCTGTCGGCCTGCTATTGACCGAAAAACATTCTCTCGCTATCTCTTTCTCGTATGTCAGCGATCCACACTCATGTCCGTACTAAAACGTACGATGTCATGTCTATTCTATTCTTCTATTAATTGCTTTAGTGGCAAATACTTCTATACGGGTATGTCATTCAGAACGCAAGCCTTTAAGCGTTCTGATCCTCTTTCTTAATTATACATC